TAGGGATGTCGACAGGTATACCATCGATGGAGCATCCATCAACACTAATGATGACGTGTCGAGGCTCAGCACCATCATTACGTCGACGGTACTAGACTCCCTAAGCAAACTCGGGTCTCCCAGCTCAGGGTCCCTGAACACAACAGTGGTTCCCAAAAACCCTGTAGGTGATTCGACCCACGTTAAGAGAGCCCAAAAGAACCAGGCATCACCGCCTAAGCCGAGCAACCCAAGTGTTGCTGCACGGAAAATAACTGGTGATTTGGTCGCACAGTCTACCCCCAAGACTGTTCGTCCGGTCAATAAAGAGCCCAAGATTCAAAAACGCACACTGACCTCCAAACAACAAGTTATTAAACCTGAACCCATCGTGAAACCTGGTAAATTAACAACAGTTCGTGACGATTCTCTCATTATCATGAACCTCGTTGACAATCCTGACCTTCCTCTCAGTCTGCAGGACAAAAACGACAGGATGCTCTGGGGTGAATTGAACAAGAAGCTCGAACTTCCTAGAATAGAGCCTTTGACGGTCACCCGGCTCACTCGAGGAAAGGATTCTAAGCATCTAAATCACCCGAGGCTTCTCCGAGTAACACTTAAGAATGCTACCGACGTAGAGGACGTCTTGCTAGCAAGTCACTTGCTGAAATCAGATGGTAACGTAAGAATATTGCCCGACATACCGTACTCTGAGCGCAATATCATACGAAACATCCCTAAAGAATCTCGCGAGAAGTTTTTCCGCGGAAGAAACATAATTGTGCAAGGTATACCGGAAAATGCAGACCCTACTCAATCAAATTCTGACATCAGGGAATGGAAATTCATCAAACAGTCCTTGAGGCTCAAACACATACTGACTCAGCATGTGACGAGACTAGCCAAGAAGGACGGTGACCCTAGACCCCGTCTAATGAAGATAACCTTCCCATCTTCCCACATGGCGGCTGCAGTTCTGGAAGCATTTCGTGCCAACAGACGTCGATTGCCACCTGGAATCCACATGCACCCGGATAGGCCATACGAAGCTAGGACCAAGAACAAAGGCAAGTTGGAGCTGACCATTCCACTTGTGGACTGTCTAAACGATAAAAAAACGTGTAAAGGACAGGGCCTACCACCTCGGCAAACCTCATATAGGTGGGCTACCTGTCCATTCACATAAGGTTCATACAGAAAAACAGGACGAAGCTCACGCGTTCCAAATTGAAAGCATAAACTGCTTATATATGAACGCCGCGAGTCTACCAAACAAACTGGATGAACTACGTGAACTTAGCAACGCTAATAAGGCCCATCTGATAGGAATATCTGAAACCTGGATATCTTCTCAGTTCTCGGACCAAGAGTTAGCATTACCTGGGATGACTTTGTTCCGCAACGACAGAAAAACAGGAATTGGGGGCGGAGTAGCCATATACATAAGCTCTTGCTTGGAGGTGCACCAAGTTCACAACCTCGAGTTTAACAATCTTGAGGAATCCATATGGTGCTCTGTAAGATTGTCTAGTACTTCGAGGTGTCTAGTCGGAGTCATTTACAGGAAGCCAACTGCCGACATCGAGTACGATAGTCGTATGCTGGAAGGACTATCCCGCTCTATCCGTCTCGGTTTCACACACATCCTGATTCTAGGGGACTTTAATCTCCCTAGAGTCAACTTCGCGGAACACACGTACACTGGAGGCGACAACTCAATTGAAGCTCGGTTCTTCAACCTCATCGATGACTTGGGCTTATATGAAAATGTGAGGTCGGCAACTCGTTGGAGAAACAGTCAGACACCATCGCGCTTAGACTGTGTATTCACTAACGAAGAATTCCTAGTCGACAACCTCTCAATCCTGGCTCCTCTGGGAAAGAGCGATCATGCCGTCATAGCCTTCAGTTTTGTCATCAAAACTAAGCTAAGGTATCCCAACAATAATTTGCGTTGGAATTTTAAACGGCTGAATGTGCCAGCTCTACATGACTATCTACAACAGGTGGTTTGGGATGTTCACCCTCAACTCGATGTGGATGGTCATTGGGACTTCTTACTGCACACGCTCTTATGTGCTACAAACCATTCAGTTCCTCAAACGGTTCCCAAAAGCTGCAAGCCACCTACAGTAATCAAGAACCGTACCCTTCGCCTGCTAAGCCGCAAAAGGCACTGTTGGGCGGAATACAAACGAACTAATAACGATGGAGCGTATAGGCAATATAAACATATCAGGAACATATGCACGAAGGCTATAAGAGAAGACAGGCTTCAGTACCAAACAAAGCTTATGGACAAATTCGCCTCTAACCCTAGAAGCCTATTCCGTTATGCAGCCTCTCTTCGTCAAGCCAAAACAGGAGTTTCTCAACTGCTAGGTCTTAACGGCCCGACCAACAACGATGGCGACGCCGCTAACCTTCTGGCGGCACATTACTCTCAAACATTTCAACCGGCTGACATCAACTTTACTGACGACAGTTTCATCTGCAATTCCACAGGACTTTCTGAAGTGGACCTAAGCGCTGACTTGGTGTTCCGGAAATTGCAGCACTTAAGACTAGACACTTCTCCTGGCCCGGATATGGTTCATCCTGCCATACTGAGGGAGGCAGCCTCAATCCTGGCAACGCCGCTTAGCGTGATGTTTTCACACTCGCTTAGCCGAGGCAAATTACCGGAAAATTGGAAGTTGGCTCACATCACACCAATTTTCAAAGGTGGTCGACGCAATGAACCTTCAAGTTATCGGCCGGTGGCTCTTCTGTCATTACCTTCAAAACTCATGGAGTCCCTGATATGCGACGGTTTAAATGACTATCTACTGTCCTTAAATTTCTTCTCACCCCAACAGCATGGTTTCAGGAAGGGTTACTCTTGTATAACCAACCTGCTGACTGCGGTGGACAGATGGACAAGCATCCTCGATCGCAAGGGAAAGGTTGATGTCATTTACCTTGATTTCTCAAAAGCTTTTGATAAGGTTAACCACTTGTGTCTTATCAATAAGCTCAAACGACTAGGTATCAAACCACCTCTAATCGATTGGCTTACTTCATACCTAAAAAATCGACACTTTAAGGTTAGGGTTAATTTCACTTTATCTCAGGCTATGGAATGTCCTAGTGGGGTCCCCCAGGGCTCAGTACTAGGGCCTCTTCTCTTCTTGATCTACATAAATGATCTTCCTCAACAGGTAACGTCAGACTTATTACTTTTTGCCGACGACGTGAAACTTTGGAGAGAGATACGCAACCAAGACGATATACAGGCACTTCAGGAGGATCTGACTCGACTTCAAAGTTGGGCAGACGATAACGGACTTACCTTTAACACTTCAAAGTGTAAAGTAGTCCATCTGCGACATGTCGCAAACTACAGTTACAACTTAGGAAACTCCTCTCTAGTAGTATCCCAAGTCGAAAAAGATTTAGGAGTCCTGGTGCCCCATGATTTAAAGTCTTACGCTAACTGTGACAAAAATGCCTTCCGAGCAAACCTTGCACTGGTAACGTTGAAGCGCATTTTTGGACAGTTTGACGGACGAACTTTCCATACAATCTTCAATAGTTTCATCCGTCCCCATTTAGAGTACGGAAACATAGTACTCCCTCCCTCACTCCAAAAGGTGTGGTGGACGGGACAAATATGAACGCAAAAAGTATAAACAAAGTTACTAAAGATAAATAGTAATATTAATATATATACAGTTAACTGTTACAAATACAATAAAAATTAGGGACGTTACTTAAATTGCCCAAACGTTGCGTGTTCTGATTAGGTCCAGTAATGTAAATCCACAATTATAAATGCTTGATGACTCTGAGCAGGTTGGCGAACTCTCTAGCGATATAGTCCAACGTAGGATGTGATATATTCCGATTACAGTCTATAAATGTAGATAGTATTTGATTTAGACTTCCGTTAACTCAATCACAAATGGAAATAGAACGAGGAATGCGAGAGTAGTAGTGTATTTGTTAGTCGGCAAGCATATATCACGCTATGTAGTAGCTCAACGGAAAGTGTGTTCAAGGTCAATGACTTAAACAACAGGTACAATCATTTAATGATAAATGTACATGCGGTGCGAAATTGGCAAAATGAATACACATAATATTAAAAACTATTTACAAAATAAGCTTGTCAGGTCTATCTCCACAAAGGACAAGGTCACTTTGGAGCGTATCCAACGGCGAGCCACGAAATCAGTTCGAGGACTCAAATCTAAACCTTACGAAGAACGCCTCTATTCACTAGACCTTTACCCATTAGAGTATAGGCGTCTTAGAGGTGATTTATTAATGGCTTATAGTATTTTTAACACTTCTGGACATCCTCTTAAACACCTACTTAAGCTTAGTTCGAATAATAACCTAAGGGGTAACACCCAGAAACTGGAAACACAACATAGCAAGACGGAATGTAGACACAACTTCTACTCCTTAAGAGTTGTCAAAAGCTGGAATTCGCTGCCAGCCGAGCTAGTCCAAGCGACTTCTCAGGAGTCCTTCAAGAGGCAACTTGACCTATTCTTAAGGACCAAGGACAGCATCACACTATGATTTACCAATTTTTTCCTCTTTTATTGTTAACATACCTAGGTTCCTGCCTGGAGGATTTGGTGATCCCCTACTACTAGACACGGAAGCCTGTTAAGCGAAAGCTTCTTCTATTCCGTCCACAACCATTTGAACCATTTGAATATATACAAATCCACAAATAACTAATAAACTGACCAGAATTAGTGCGGTGAAGTGGCTAGCTACCACCAACTGATTGTTAAAAATACATGGAACCTCATCGAAACGACAGGAAGCGAGTGCAAATAAATCATACGGTTCATACAAACTCGTGACATAGGCATTGGATATAGAGCGCCTTTTCAGAAGACATCGCTACAAGTCGTTCATCATGCCTCGGATTAACATCAAAGGAGGTGTTTGGAGGAATACTGAGGTAAACTTTCGGATATTAAGTTACTTTTAAGGATGAAATTCTCAAAGCTGCTGTTATGAAATATGGCAAGAATCAGTGGGCACGGATAGCTTCTTTGCTACACCGCAAAGCCGCTAAGCAGTGTAAAGCTAGGTGGTACGAATGGCTTGATCCCAGTGTCAAGAAAACAGAGTGGAGCCGTGAAGAAGATGAAAAGTTACTACACCTTGCAAAGCTTATGCCAACTCAATGGCGAACAATTGCTCCGATAGTTGGAAGGACTGCAAATCAATGTTTGGAACGCTATGAATATCTTTTGTAACTCATAAATTTATTAATTTTTTTAAAATAAAGGGACAAAGCACAAAACAGAGAAGGGTTATCCGCAGAGGAGGATCCTAAACGCCTCCGTCCTGGCGAAATTGATCCAAATCCGGAGACTAAACCTGCCCGTCCAGATCCTGTTGATATGGATGAAGATGAATTAGAAATGCTTTCAGAAGCCAGAGCACGGTTAGCCAATACACAGGTCGGTTGCTTTAGATGTATTTATACTTCAGTTCCGTAGAGTTGTTTTTTTTAATTCATAGAAATAAGAGGAATTCGTTTGACTGTCAGGGTTCTTTCTGCTTGTAATTTTTTCAACTGAATTTCTCCCATAATATACTACGCTCATCCACTTATTTTCGATCATTCGGTTATTTTTTGATCATATTCTCTACCTGTTTACAATTTCAACCCCTTATGTTTTTCTTAATTTTTTAAGTATTTATTTGTACCAATATGTGTTCAAGTAAATAAAAGAAAACTAGGATTTATATGAACTTCTACATTCGGCATGCTTACAGAGTTCGTCTTGGTTGAGTGTTGAACACTAAAAGTAAATCAAACTAAGTTATCCAAACTCAAGTCAGATAACGATCACTTTATTATCTTTCAGTATTTGCAAACAATTTATTTGCTGATTCTCTGAAAGTGATATTAGCCATGCGGTTTTACTTTTCAGCCTGTCATTTCACTTGTATTAATCTGTTTCTAATTGTTTCAGCACAAATCCATTAAGTCTATCCGAACATCCTCTTATTATGCTTGCCATCCTGCCATCCATGTTAATTACTTCTAGTGATGAAACCTTTGTACCTCGATAGTTTCCTCGTGTTTGCATGCCGATGGACTAAAAGTTGGGGTTATTAGGGTGATTCTCACTCTTCGAAAGTGCTCTCATGTCCATTTCTGTAAAATCAATCGTTCTTGTGTATGCTGGTTTCGACTATTCGTTTTCTTTAAAATCAAATTCATGTCTGAAAATCCTTTCACATCTGTTTGTTTATACACTTTACATTTGAAAGACGTAAAAATTTTATTTGCATGGCTCATATCTAACTCTTCGTTTACTTGTTCTTTGTGATCTTAGGGTAAAAAAGCAAAGCGTAAAGCTAGAGAACGTCAGCTCGAGATTGCGCGAAGAATGGCTATGATGCAAAAACGTCGAGAACTTCGAGCAGCTGGTCTAGGAACATTCTTAGGGTTAGCACCGAAAACGAAGCCATGCATGGATTATAATTCCGAAATTCCATTTGAGAAGCAACCTCCTAAAGGGTTTTATGATACTAGTGGGAAAAACCAGAAATCAAACCTATGGACTTTCAACGTTTAAGACTTTCAGATATCGAAAAAGAAAGTTTCATGGAAAGGGAAAAGGTAAGCCATCACATTTTTTTCGTTTTTGGATTATGTATTTCGAAAACTTACTCTATTTTTAATACCCTTTTTTCATATCTCTATACCAAAATGTTATTTTCGGGTAATTTATATCAAATTCACGTTCATAATACGTCCGTTTCGTGCTTGTGTGTTGGGAGTTTTACAAAGTTTATTGCTCAAGGTCAATCGAATTGTTTCTTAAGTGTTCTATCTATCATTCCAGCCCCCTGGTTTGAGATTAGGTCACTGACTTGTCTCACACTAACTGTTAAGTCCCTATAATTGACCACCTACTACTTGTTAACTAGTCGTTCCCGCTTTCCCTCCTTTTGTATATCTCGTCTATGATTTTTCATTACAATTGTATTAACATCTTGCTAGTCTACAATAAGGCTGTCCGTTCTATTTTCTGTTATTTTACTGCTAAAAAAGTTTCCAACTACTTATTAACTCAAAAGAGGTTATGGGAATTCACTAGAATTTCCCAGTTTATTTCAGTGTTAACAAGTACGAATTCGGTTTCTGAAGATTTCTTCGTAATTAAAGATAGGTATTTTATTATATACAGTACTAAAATGTATTACGTTAGCCAGAAGGATAGGCACAACCCCATCAGGACCGATTTTAAGTAACATCAAATAAGTCGGCTAACCATTTGTATAATTCCTCGAGATTCGATTGTTTTATTTACCTAGGGCCCAAATAGTCGTCGTTAACTTGGTACGTTGGTAGGGGAAATTTAATTCTTCATTTGAATAAGTGGATGTCAATTTGTTTTAGCATGTGACGTAACTGTCGATTCAGTCAGTCAGCTACAACGTAGGGCCAGGCACATATATGCATCGGTCCAAGTTGCCATACCGCATTAGCACAGCAAGATGAACACCGGATTCATAGAAATAGTTAATTCAATGGTTGTAATATATAAAAGAAAGATTGCATATAAGGATATAGTAAAGGAAGAAAGAGCTAGTTCATAGAAAAGAAAATATGAAGCGGTTTTAAACTCTGTTAAAGGGAAGATAGAGAGTGTATACATCTACGCCATTGTGATAGATTCTCAGCCATGTCACCAAGAGTCTCCGACCATTGGTTACGATAGTCATACGGACCCCAACCAAGTAGTCTGCATCTAACAACATGGCTCAGACTAGAAGTTAGTGACTTCAAGTACTGATGCCACGTCTTGGTTTGGCCTCCCCTAACTTTCTTCCAACCATCTCTAACACCCGTTAGCATTGCACTTTGTGGTAATCGGTGTTCAGGCATACGTAACACGTGGACCAACCATCTCAGTCGATGAAGATTCACAACCTCATCAACTGGTTTACCATCATTCCCTAATACCATGCGTCTAACCTCACTATTACTTACCCGGTGATCCCAGCGGATGCGAGCAATATTTCTAAGGCATCTGTGGTCAAATACTAGAAGTTTACGAGTGTCTTCTACTCTTAATGGCCATGTTTCGCTGCCGTAAATTAAAACAGAACGGACTGCCGCGCAGTATACTCGTCTCTTAATTGATAGACGGATATCTTGCCTTCGCCATAGGTGACGTAAGTTGGCAAAAGCCAAACGAGCTTTTCGAATCCGTGTAGGGATTTCGTCAGACACCAACCCATTAGGGCTGATCAGATTTCCACGATAAGTGAAGTTGTAGACGCGTTCGACTACTTCACTCCCTATCCTTAGTTCAGGTGTTGACGTAGGCCAGTCCTGAAGCAACAACTTGCATTTAGAGTCAGAGAAGCGCATTCCAAACATTCTGGCGTTGTTGCTTAGTGCTACCTAAAGACTCTGTATTTTATCAGAGTCTTCACCCAACATGATTACGTATTCTAAGTCGATGAGTGGACCTCCTGGAAGGAGATCAATACCCGAGAATTCAGTCGACGAGAGTGTTATTTCCATCAGTAGGTCTATGATGAAGTTAAACAAGAATTGAGGAAGCGGACGGCCTTGAGGGACACCACTTGAGGTTGCAAAAGTAGATGATAGTTCGCCATAAGCTCTGACTCGACTGGTAGTGTTCGAGTAAAGAGCCTTTACAAGGTTTATGTACTTCTAGGGTACGCCTTTCAATGACAGACATTGCCACAGAATCTCGCGGTCTACAGAGTCAAATGCTGCTTTTAAGTCGAGAAAGATCACCATTGTCGGATGTCGATAAGTATGCCTGTGTTCTAGAACCTGACGAATGGTGAATATGTGGTCGATGCAGCCACGACCAGGTCTGAAGCCAGCTTGGTTCTCTTGTGTTTGCAGTTCACGAGTCTTAGTTAGGCGTCTGATAATTATCGAGGCTAGTATTTTGGATATTATATTAGTTAAACTAATCCCTCTATGGTTATCACAGGATGATTTTAACCCTCTCTTATATATTGGGACGATAAGTGATTGTGACCAGTCAGATGGGATAACGTCCAACTCCCAGATTTTAGCTAAAATATTCGTCAACCTAATCGCTAAAGTTGGACCACCATCCTCAAAGACCTCTGCCGATTTGAGTATTACAGTTTAATCTATCCATTTCAGTATGTACAACTAACACTAAATTCCTTAAATCTCACATTTTAGTTATATTGGTACTTTTCAGCGTGAACGTAAAAAGGATGCTGAACGTCAGGCTAAACGTATGCAATCTGATTTACCTGGAGTTATTTTGCAACGTGGGAATTCTTTGGATGAGCCAATGTTGAAACGATCTAAACTTGTACTTCCTGCTCCTCAAGTATCTGACCTGGAATTGGAAAATTTAATCAAAGTATGTTTCAAATGGTTTTGTAATTATCAACTTATAACAAGTGCATACTGTGGTAATGAAACAATAACATTGGACTTATCATACTAAAAACCAGCATAAATTTAAATTAAAAGGATAAAACTGGAGCATTGCATTCGCGTTTATCATCAACTACGAAACAATGGGCATTTACGCAAGATTTTGACTAGTTTTACATTAATCTACTTTTTCATTTCTTACAGATGCTTAAAACTTTTTCGGCCTTTTGAGTTTAGTACTGACTTGCAGTTTGTTTCCTACAATTTTGTTTTTATCTACTAAGTTATCAAAAAAGTCGGCCACACATAGTCATATTTTTCGTTAAATCGTTTGAAGTTAAATATTAATACGCCAGTTTATCAACTTTTATTTTACATAATTTGATCATTTTACTTGTCACTAATTAATTTTTACGTCGTATAAAATAATTTAAAAGTGACTGCCATGATTTACTTTTTCAATCTGTGTTTTTTTTACCACCCAAGTTTTTTTTGTTTTGTTTCAAGTATTAATTTCTTTCTATAAATATCTGTCGAAGTATCCTAATAGAAAATCTAGTAGAATAAAATAAATACACCAGTATCCTTAAATACCACTTTCCTCTGACAACTTGTTTAGGCTTTAACCTACTTAATTTTTTTGCCAGTTTTTTCTCTTCTAAGTTTATGGATGTAATTGGTTAAGACAGACAAATCTCGATTACTGGGTTACTAGTTCAAGATTATTTTGTTGTCGACGGGTTGCGTGGTGATAACATCATTAGCACTGAAATACAGAAAGTAACTCGAAACCATATATATGTATATATTCTATACTTTGTCTACTTGAACTTTGTTTGTGTTTGGTGTTCCAACACTTAGATCTCTTATTAACTGAATAGGTTACGCAATTTTTAGGAATGTACTTAACTAGATAATAGAATCTTAGTATTAGAAAAGATTAATTATCTATCAGTATATCTTATAGAATAATCACCCACAATGATGTCGAATCAACTAAAGTGGATACTATTTTGCAAACTCAAATGATTAAAAATTTGGTTTCTTATTTCTAACATTATTTATCGAATTTTCATTTTTATCGTTTTATTGTGATCGGGGAAAAGGGAAATTAGAAACAATCTGTCTACAACATAACACTAAATCAATTAGAGTTTGATTGGAAACTGCATTTTTCTTCCCTTGTTCGAATGTCCCATGCCTATGGCCACTAGTACAAATTGGGACTTTCCTGCAACTTAATCTGAATGAACTTTAGATTTTTAAAATGAAAGGAAACAACACTGATAGATAAAATGCGATGTTACGATGCGACCGAGTGGTGGCTGCGTACAAAACTAACTTACTGTTGTAAACCCCTGATGAACTGATATTAGAAAGATACTTACATAGTAGATGAGATTTTTCTCCAAACAAAATGACATTATATACATAATACATAAAATAATGATAAACATAATTAGAAATCACTCAACAAGTAAACTATTTGATGACACACCAACTGTAGATCATCCACTCTCTCATGGGATTAATGCTTAATTATTACCCTATCATCTGCTATCTTTTTGTTTTAATATTTATTATTACTCGTTTATTTGAATCGTCTTACAAAAAACTATTAGGTCGGTCAAGCCGGTGAAAATGCTGTAAGAATGGCTATTGAAGATGCTGATGGTGAATTGGGCTCTGCAACACATCCTCTTTTACCGGAATATCCTACCGGTAGTTTTGCAACACCTGCGTTAAATCTTCAACGCACTCCAATGGCTGTGATTGATTCTGTGACTAGAGTAAGTTTTTATTCCGATTTTTGTATATTTAGCACACTTAAGTTTTGGCACAGTTTGGAGCTAACAATCGTATGCACCACAGAAATAAGATAACATCGAGAAAAATATAAGGGATGGAATTGGGGTACCATAACAAAAATGAATGAACCAGAATAGTTTGTCTAAAAATACAACTTAAAAGATTTCTTTCAATTTAGGGAGTTCATCTCACTATTACTAGGAATGTAAAGTGGAATTTTTATGGGATCCCCACTCGCTTCTATTCCGAGCCACATTTGATTATGTTCCAAGCCATTGAGTTACACTACCTCTAAGTCCTCAGTCAGCAAGGTTGTCCTAACGAATCAACTAGTACCAATCCTATACAGCCCTCTTTTATACTACGGTACCATGTCATAAACTGATCTTATCCTCTTACTTTCGTAATAAAACACCCCTACCACACGAACGGAGTGAGTAAAGCTTACTTGTCAAACTTTGTGAGAACGTCTCGAGAGAAGTGGACAAACGACCCCAACCCCTCGGTCCTTCCAAAGCATCTAGGGGCTAGGTAAGATAAATTCCCTAGTATGTTCTAAACTTTATTTTTGACACATACACTTAGTAATTATTCATGTAACGTAATCTGTGCTGAGTGCATAAAGATTACTTCTCTTGAATGGCTAATATTAAGTTCTTCGCATTAAAAGAGTACATGTAAGATAACAGTGTATGCCAACTACTATCCAAATAGTAATCCAGAACCCTAGCGCTGATCATACAGTGGTTGATTGGAGCGGACATTGTAGTCCTTCGACTATATTTGAGTGGTTAATCCTGGTTTAGTAGGCCATCTAAAAACACAGTCAAGTGGTAATTAGGATCCAATTAATTACTGCTGCCCCAACTTCAGCACTTAGTGCAAGACGAGCTCCAGCAAAACCAGACGAAGATGCCATAGGGTCGCCGGACAAACGCACGTGAAACAAACGTTTTCAGTAGACAGATGGGAAGTGAATGTGTGGTACTTCATTTGAGTCTTGAATACGGATCTTGGATAGAAAATAGACATCGATGTTAAGACTTAAATACACACACAAGTCTATCTGTTGTGCAGTCTGCATTAGTGTACGGACGCTATAAAAGGTCATTTTAAATTGCATACGTGGTTTCCAAAAGTTTGATTCATAATTCGTGTTTGGTTGTAACATTCAACATTCGACCAGTTAGTAACTTGAGATAATGAGTTGGATCCCCCCTCACCAGCTAATATTTTCAATCATTTGATATAGTTTTGTCGGTTGCTGATATAAGTAACTCATTCTAATTCACTTAGTTATCTCGGTCATACGCAACGTAGAACTTGGGATGTAAGTGCATCAATTCAAGTTACTACATAAATTTAACACGGTGAAATGAAATTATCAAGTCAAATGCAAAAATTTTTAGAAATGTTAACAGTATCCATAGTAGTAGAAACTAATCAGTATAGAGAAAACAGATGTTAGGAGATTTTGGAAATAAAAATATTAGGGGAGACAAACGGTAGAAACCTCTGCATCATTGTGATCAATTCTGAACCATGTCATCCAACATCTCCAGCTACTGGTTACGATAATCACTAATCAGAGGTTGTTCACAGTACTCTTTTCTTTAGAATAACAAAATTGTCATCATATTAACACATTTTTTCATGTTCATATTGGCCATTTTTGAAGTATTACGTTTATACTAGGAATCGTTATCTAAATTAATTTGGGTTTATTTAAAAAAAATATTAAAACTCAAGAAACAGAACATATATGTAAACGAAGCAAAAACTTAAGTGTTTGCAGAATATATGTGGTAAATATTAACTAGATCAAAAGCTTGTGTAATTCACTTTTCTTCCGATTAAGTACTGATGTGGTAACTTGAATCAATTCACATCCGTGACAGGTTGTTGATGTCTGACTGACTAGCTTTTGATCAACAGAGTGCAGAATTAATTTGAAGTAATAAAGCGACTATGTGAATTGTTTTTTTTTCTGTATGTTGCAGCCTAAATCAACCGATCACTTCATAGTTTTATTTTTGTAAATCTCATTCATAAAATAATGTATATTCCCATAATATTTTTCCCATTTAATTGTTCGTCAAATTTTCTATTTGTTAATATCATTATTATTAAAACTTTTGGTTACCAGGAAGCACAAAATATTTTAGCTTTGCAACAAGTTCAAACTCCTCTTAAAGGTGGTGAAAATACTCCATTAGTTGGTGAATCTGATTTTTCTGGTACAACGCCTCGTTTACCAAATACTCTAGCAACTCCGAATGTTTTACTTCCTAGTCAAATAGTTGGTGCTACTCCATTTCGTACACCGAACAGCAACATTGAAAATGGTATGTTTTGTTTTCCTTTTTCCTCAAAATTTCACCCTTATTTATGTTTATTTTTTTCCCAATTGTAAAGAAAGTAAAATTCTATCTCATTCTGTTTAATTATTATTTTATTTCAAAAAGCCCGCTTCTTAACAATTTACCTAATGAGCTTCATTTTTAAAAATATTTATTTACAAAGTTAATAGAAAAACCATGGTTTATAAAAAGGTACTTGAAGGATTGTTGTGAACTTGATTAATCAATGATGAGTTTTCTGAACATACCTTGTTTCGTTTATTTTCCTCACGTTCATATTCTATTTTATGTCTAAACTAAACAAACAGATCTACCGGTTTTTTATTGCATACACTCGAAAATAATTGAATTGACTTTAACTAGTTTAATTTTCTTTATGTTAGTTATTAAAGACAGAAATGTTGAGACTTTGGAAGTAATCTTGTTGTAATGTGCCAAAGATCCCACATGCTATTGTTTCATTTCAAACTAGTGCATATATTAATCTCTGCTAACAGAATTGATATTTCATATTTTAATTAAATGCCGCGGTACGGCCAAAGGTGAGGAGAGTCTGCTTTCCATTTCGAAATGCTCTCAGATGGCCACGCGTATACGACCACTGCCTTTTCGTGGTGAGGGTGTTGTTTACGAAATTGAGAGGATGAAAAGCGGACGTCCGGCGCTTTAACTAGGTTGGTGGACACAGAGGGTCCGCCTATGGGAGTTGGAAAACACTGATTCTAAACCAATGGTGCAAATGGGCTCTAGTAACTTGAGAGAAAAAGGCTTATAAACCTATTGTTGATCGCGGGCTACCGTGGTACTTCATCTCGTAACGTTGCCTTGTGGATTAGACCTCTAGGTCAAAGGCCCAGGAAGTGGCTCCCTAGGAAAACCATCTACTTCGGTTTGGGCACCCGGTCAGCATCTCAGCCCTCACACAAATCGAATGATTTGCGTGGCACATATATATTTGGTGCCCCCTTGTACCAGTGTTTATTCGTTTAAATAATAATAAACATTGGGTTTAGTCATTCAGCTTTTAGGTGGTAAATCAAAAATTCGCTACAGTCGGTTAGTATCATTAAATTTTGTACAATTTAAACATGGCTCTCAGCTACATACTCAACTGAATTAACTCAATTATCAGGCATAGATTCGTGTACTTGCCTTCAAGCAAGGTTGGAATTATTACTGGTCCACCGAGATGTAATTAGGTAGAGGGAATTTCGAACCTGTGACTTTATAACTGAAATTCGATCGCCTTAACCACCGAGTTACCACTTCTGAATAATATTAATTTGTCATAGGTATATGCGTGAAGATCCTCATCATATGTAAGAAAAGTAGCTTGTTATTTCTCCGAACTATACTTATTTCCCTGCTTTTTATGGCCAGTATTATGACATGTTCCTAACAGATTGATCTTATTATTTAAAGTTTTTCACATGTGAATGATTCTGTTGCACAAATAATTTATTCCGTCAACATAGAATTGATTGTCAATTTTCATTCAAGCTGTATACTTGTTCTATTGTCGTAACTTCTTATTGAATTATGTTTAATTGTGTTGTTTCCTAAATTTATACTACACTATACAAAGAATACACAAATTGATCTAAAAAGATTTTAAGTGAAATTAAGAGAGAATGTATAAAGGCCTCATGAAATGTTAAAGTTTGTCTACAGTTATAAATCATGGTGGAAAATAGTTCTTTTCAAGTGGATGAGATGTTTCAGTTAAAGACGTGTGATAACTGAATTGATGATCTAAGGCTAAGATGACTAACATTCTCTTGTATTAATGAAAATATTAAACATTTACTATTTGTTATGCTTTCTTAACCACTCATTCATTGTTTCAATGATTGCTAATAAAAATAACTTCGGGAAGTTGTATGTGTATGTGATCTTGAAGTTACTGGCAATGTTAAATAGTCTGATTTTTGAGGACTTTCAGAAATCCTGTTAATCATTACAATTAAGGTGGGATAAATATATTCCTTGTAGTATTACTTGATGAATGAGTATATAGTGTGGAAAAACTTCTTACAACTGCTTAGAAGGTTAGTGCAAATGTGTGGTATACTGAATAACCAAATTTTAGTTAACATGATAAACTGTAAATCATGCATTCTTATACTAAAAACTAACAACATCAGTTGATAAGTATCTAGGATTGCAATTTGAATGTACAAACCTTTTAACGTTTTAATTATAAATAAAGTTTCAGTTTTGTGGTGGTAAAGTGAATTGCCTTGATGCACTCGAAAATTTTATTCTCATCTCATTGCATAGTGACAAGACAAATCACTCATATAGTTATACAATGAATGTCTCTAATCGATACTGATGATCAGTTTATATATATATCCTGCAGTGTTAAGTTTTATGAAGATCAAAATAGAATTTCGTTTCGCTTAGGTGAAGTTTTGTTCTCTGGACTTGATGTTTAGGTCTACCTGAAGTTTATGTTAATAATGTTGTTCAGAAGAACAATGAAAGCTCCACAACCAAACCATCCAGCTCAGATAACAAAATTCCACCTTAATCATCTACATGAGCTACAAATCGTCACTATCTCAAATTTCATCTTTAATTGAAGCACTGACAAAATCTAAAATCATTTGAGATTCAACAAATATGTCCGAATATATGAAATACCGCTTGTTTTAAATGGTTAGCATTAATGTTTAATAAATAACCCTTGTAGTGTTTAAGTGCATTAAACATACCTCACTCTAAGAAAATCAGAACGTATGATTATTTTAATATAATTGATAAGATATTTAAATATCTACTGAATCTTTTGTATTCTGCTCAATAATATTCTATATTTTTGATTCTTGGTTATAATATGGAATGAATCAATTGAATTTTCAAGTATCATAGGTTTTCAATTATAGATATATTATCATAGGATCACTGATTGAACATTCAGTTTTATGAAAGAGAGATAAATTAGTTGATATAATTATGAATTGAATGTGAATTAATTTGTCTGGGATATTTAGTTGAGTCACATGGTCTCTCTTCGTAAGTGTGTATAATGCTGATGATTGTATGAACTGTTTGGAAAAAGAAAACGACGAGATTATAATTTATAGACGAACCGATCAGATAGAGGATAACAGGTCTTGAATTTTGGCGCGAAATTCACCCATCCATTTGGATAAATGGAGTTTTGGAATTATCTGATGTCAGTTCTTGATGAAAACCCTAAATCTAATTCTTAACCTTAACCCCATCAACTGTAAATCATAATTCTAATTCTTCACACAGGTTTATAACCTTCATTTGGTTCTAGTTATTAGGTGAACACTCTCAAAGTCAGTCTATCGTCGCTCAAAGGTCGTCCATAAATTATTGTCTCACCAAAATAACTAAAGATAGATAAATTTATACGTTTTGAGTTGTATAGAAAACTTGTGGCTTTCTGAATTTAGTTCTCAATGTGGTGTTAATCAATAATTGTAGAGCCTAGTTGATAGAACTTTAAAAACATTTCCTACTAGGACATTTGTATTCACTTAATATTTCTTTATTTCATGTTCATCTCCTCGTTCTATACTTATTAGTAGTTGTATTTCTCTCTCTATTAGAGTCCCACTTTTTTCATACCTTAATTTCCGTTTTGTTCTGTCATAAATAAAAAAATATATTTTAGGCACTCCAAATCTCATGGGTGGTGATGCTAATAATACACCTGGTCCATTAAGAAAAGGTGAACAACATTATGGTCCCCCGGTGTCAAATACACCACTAAGAAATCGTTTGAATATAAATCCAATCGATGGAAATAATTTAGATGGTCTTAATAATATTAGTAACAATAATCATTCCGAAGGTATGGTAGACTATTATGACCAAAATGGTGTAAAAACAAATCTACGCAAAAGTTTAGCTAATCTACCAACACCGAAGAATAATTTCGAAATATTTCTCCCTGATGAAACTAAACCTAACGGTGATGATGCTGATGATAATGACGTTGAAGGTGTTAACGTAGATATGGATCAATTGGAAGAGGAGAGGGGAACTGCTTCAAGAATTCCAGATCAGTCAGATTTAGATAGACAATCTGAAAGAGAACGTGCTAAAGCCGCTGAATTGGAATGGTCTAAACGAAGTCAAGTTGTTAGACGATCTTTACCTAGACCATCAGCTGTGAACCATACGATTTTGCGTAATATTCCAGGTTCAGTTAACCAACTATCTCAACAAGATGCGAATATGACAGATTTACAAAAGGTATTGTTAAAATGGTTTTCTTTTGCATACACTATAAAATCGTTAAAGTACATCTAAATATTAACCAACCCTATAATCAATATGTTAGTACTATTTATCGAGTTTATTGTTTTAGGTGTAGGTTTCTCATTGGTTTTTGAGCTTCTATCTGACACCTCAAACTTTCAGGAAATCTATACTTGATAACCTCTTCAGTGGGCTAAGTCATTCTTCGTTAATGAATATAATAAAGCTTGAATTCTAGCTGAGTCAATTGTATTATAATTTTACGGTTTACATCATGGGATGACCTTACTTTGACAACCAGGAAGAATTGGATAGCTGTTTGGTCCTAATACAGTATTCTCCAGTGATGAGCATCCATAATCCCACTGAGGATCAAGCCCAAGACCTTCAGGTCTCGCGAAAAGTCCTTAACGTTCAAACCACTCAGTCAATATCCAACTGTCTGTATTTCCAACTTCAGTCAATTAGTGGTATTTCACAACAATATTTCAGTACCATTTGTGTGTAACTGGCTCATTGCTAACATGTTTGAACGGGAATGGTCACAACTTCTCACTCGAACCTCAGGAATTACATCGGTAAACTAGTTACCAGTAAACATATGATTAATACTAACTTATTATTTTTTGCTTAAGGAATCTACTAAATTGCTTTGTTAATATGCATCAATCAACCATCATCCGCAGAGCACTGACAATTATATATCATGGTGGTATTAGTAGTTTTTGTAAATAACACTACATGTAGATTTATTGGATTCATTGTAAAATTCTTACGTGTAGACTGTAATCATTATAAATTGATTTGAGTTGGAGTAAGATTAGAAACCAAGTCTACTTCCGATTGCGTCCATGCTCTTGGCTTCCGTCATACTTCGTAGGTTGTTCAAAACCCGAGAAAGATAGACTCGCGAGGAGCAGGCTGGGTTTCATTCTGGTCGAGGATGTATTGATCATATCTTCACCCTCCGCCAAATGTTAGAACACCACCATACTTATCAAAGGCCAACAATCGTAGTGTTTCTTGACATCAGGGCTGCCTTCGATTCGTCGGACAGGACTGTTCTCTGGGATTGTCTATTGAAGAAGGGTGTGCCTGAGAAGTTTATTAACATCCTAAAAGCCCTATACACAAACACCTCAGGTAGAGTGAGGGATACAACCACCTCTCTCCATTGTTCCATTCGAGCAGTGGGGTTAGACAGGGTTGCGTAATCTCACCATTCCACTTCAACTTTGCCATCGATGACATTCTGGAAACAGCTCTGATGGATGTAATTAATGGCAGTGTGGATCTGTTGCCTGGAGAAAGACTTCTTGACCTTGAGTATGCGGATGATATGGTCTTACTGTGCGATAATGCCCAAGGCATGCAATCCGCACTTAATCAGTTGGCAATCAGTGTCCGTAGGTACGGTATGTGCAAAGTACTTCTACAAGACTGGCAGGATTCTAATCCTGTACTCACCTTGGATGGTGAGCAGATAAAAGTAGTCGAGAAGTTCATGTATCTGGGTAGCTGCATAAGTGCTGGTGGGGGTGTGAGTGATGAGATCAATGCACGTATAGTGAAAGCCAGAGCGGCTTATTCCAAACTGGGCCATCTTTGGCGCCTTCGTAATGTTAGTCTGGCTGTAAAACGTCGGGTCTACAACGCGTCGGTGAGAGCAGTCTTGCTCTATGCTTGTGAAACCTGGTCTCTCCGACTTGAGGACGTTAGAAGACTCTGTGTTCGATCATCGCTGTCTCCGAAGGATTGCTGACATCCAGTGGCAACACCATGTCAGTAATGCAGAGGTTCGGCATCGTGTGTTCGGGCACAGAGACGATAATGCAATTGGTGTCACCATCTTGAAACACCGACTTCGGTGGCTTGGACATGTTCTTCGAATGTTGTCCCAGAGAATTCCACGTCGTGCATTATTTGCCGACTCTGGGACTGGTTGGAAAAAGCGGACAGGTGATCAGTATATGAGATGGTGTCATGGGGTGAAAGAAAGCTGCAAAGGACTGGCTTGTGTTGGTCCTGCACGACTCCCTGACTGGGGTCCTAAAGATGGTGCAACACAGTGGCTAGAGGCGTTATCAGATATGGCTCAGAATAGAAGCCAGTGGCGATCCTGCTGTAACCTTCCTCTACTTTCTTCATAAAAAATGGGTGTATCTTCCTTAACTGATAGATTTCTTCTGATTGTACCTTTCCGTTCCCCCATCATTACTACTATTATTATTACTACACTACTTACACTAATCTCTTCCTTATTGTTCTTTTTTTACCCTCCTTACCTTTTTCTTACCCTCCTACACTATTTATTAATAACTGACTGTGCTTTCCATTCTTTTTTGTAAAATGTTTTTTTCACTCTTATTAGGCTGAAGAGTTGATTAAACAAGAAATGGTAACAATGATGCATTATGATAATTTAAACAACCCACCACCAAATCAATTGTTGGATGCAGCTAAGCAAACTACTGGTCCAAGTGGTGGCAGTGGTGTTGCTCCAGCTAGTCAACAACGACGTTATTTACAACAGATAAAAGCTACACATGAAAGTTTTTTGAAAGATTGTCCATATGAACAGTTTGTTCCGGATGATTTGAAAATGGTACGTTGTTTATGTCTGTGTGTATGTGGCATTTTTAAATGTCTTTTGTATTTAACGTGATAATTTTGTTTTGCTGTCTTATGGACTCTTTTTGTAATCATATTATGATGTCGAGTGTTGCTAGAAGTATGGAGATAGTTGTTACATCTTGGCTGCCCACATTGAGGGAGGATACTCGTTTAGATACGTGAAAAGAATACTGGATTAATAATGATCTTGTGGAATAGGAAGCGTAACCGCATAGCGTAAGGGACAATTACTTAAGGCCTGAAACGTATGGCCCTTGTGTGAGTTTTCGGTTTCTTAGCTTTGTACTTTAAAGGCTTCTCGCCTGAAACACTAACATGCGGAGAAATGTTAGATGTTCCATATTCAGGTGCTATCTTTTCAATTCTCTTTTGTCATTGTAGGTAGAAGCCATTGCTTCAAATGCTAGTTGTATGATGAAAACAATTTACTACCATCATACCGCAGTATAACTTCATTCTCAAATCTTGAGTCTGTTACTTCTAGTCTTACTGTCTGTCAACTAATCTACCTGGCATGGTAGGACCTACTGCTTATACTCTTATTACCTCTACCACTACGGGATTTGAATCGACCACTGCATCTCTGTGCTAATGTGGTGTGGCAACTCGAACTAATGTACGTACGTACGAAGTTCTACGTTGTTACTGACTGACTGATAGGGACAAGTATTTTTTTATTAAATATGACTGGATTAGGTTGTCAGGAAACAGAATCCCAACCACTCCGTCAGCCACGGTTAGGTTATTGATGGTAAATACGTGGGTGAAATGCCGAAAATTGGTTACATATTCCGAGATACTTTCTGTTTTAATAAATCTTAAGACAAAAATTTTTAAAGTTCATTTACTTCCCAAATTGATTCACGTTAGAAAACGAGAGAGTATCGAACGTCTGTTTCGTTGTAGTATATGAGACTCCTCAATTATAAGTATTCACTACTCCTTACCTAAGGGTTGGATTAACGACCTTCAAGTGTCACCCTATATCTTCGTAGTTTTAGATGGTCGTTTCACGATTTTGACTAGAAACTAAAAATATTCCATACCAAATGATGTTCCTATTACATTTCTTCTTTTTATTACATACTACTGATTGATTTTGTAAGTAACTTATAATGTTGTAGTAATATTTCAAACCAATTACAGGCGGAAAATTTATTGGAAGAGGAAATGCATGTCGTTCGAAATGGTATGGGACATGGTGAATTATCAGCTGAAGCGTATGCTAAAGTTTGGCATGAGTGTTTAAGCCAAGTTTTATATTTGCCAGCACATAGGCGTTATACACGAGCTAACTTAGTAACAAAACGTGATCGGATTGAATCACATGAGAAACGATTGGATCAACTTCGTCATCTTATGGCTGAAGAAGCTAAAAGAGCAGCAAAACTGGAGAAGAAACTCAGGATATTGTTAGGTGGATATCAGGTAATCTGTAATGTACAATCTCTTTAAATTACTTTGGACCTAGTAAATTTGTTGATCAAGTTGTTTCAAACTCTCTGTCATTTGTACATATGTATGCAAAAAATGAGTATACATTTTATCAAGGCCTTATTAGATTTCTCAAGGTATTCACCCGCCGAAAATAAGTTCGGAGATCTAATGTTTTGTCATATTTATGGGATGATTTGATGAGATGTAGTTGCCCAACCTTACACACTGTCGCTTTTTGGTAGTATACTTGTGAATATAGTATGCAGTGTGTTTGGCTTATGAACATATACGTAAAGAAAGCACCTGGAACCACTAATGCCTACAAAGAAGTCATTTAGCAAACAATACGTAACTTATGTTTGCTTCATAATAGATGTAAGCATAACTTTATTTTTAGATTGTATTCATCACAGGTTGATCTCAGTTAAAGTTCTATTGAAAACTGGGAAACACTATGCAGCTGTTTCGTCTTGTTACGGGACTCTATAGTAGTTTGCATCCGCAATTCTATCAGGGATCAAATCCAAAACCTTTATGTCTCACAGAAAACTGTTGACCACAAAGTCACTGTTTTGGGGCTCACTGATACACTTACAACTTCAACCAATTTGCGATAAAGGACAACGACTATTCAGTGTTATCAGTAATAATTGTTTCACTTTAAACACGTTTGAACTCTACCAGTCACAACCTTATTTACTGTATATTTTCCAGTTAACATTAGTTGGCTCTCCAGTTCTGTTTTCTAAACTGAAGACCTAATAATCGTTTTTTATTTCATATCCTATTCAATAAAATAACTAACTCACATTTCTCCTATTATCCATTTTTAGTCACGTGCACAAACCTTAATGAAAGCCATTGAAGAAAGTGTCGATCAAATTGAACAAAGTCAAATGGAATTAACCACATATGAACGACTTCACGAGCAAGAGTTATGCGCTATCGCTAGACGTTCTGATGTAAGTAGCATGTTTGTGTTTTTCTAGTCAGGAAACAATTAAAATTATGAAAAGTTTTTATTCCTATATCAATTACTTTCAACATATATTTATTTAATTTTTCAGGTTTTAGAAGCTGATGTTGAACGTCAACAAAAACGAAATGCTGATCTTCAACGAGAGTATGGTAGATTAATTCGTATTCGTGAAGAACGTGAAGCAGACGCTTTCTTAGCTAGTAATATGGATTTGATTAGTAATGGTGGTGGTGGTGGTGGTAAAGATGGTGGTGACACATCAATGTCGGTCACCGCTAGTGGTGATGTTACATCTGTTTCAACGTATATACATAATCAATCTAATACTGAATCATCACAAGGACAAAAACAAACAATGGTATATGGAAATAAGAATATAGTATCAGGCAAGTGGATTGCTGTGACACAGATTGAAAATATAGAAGATCCTGATCAACCGATGTTATCCAATGGAGAGATTCCTACACAGTCTCTGTAAGTCTATAAGTTTTTCTTCTTCGGTACTACTTTAAATGTATCAGTAGCTCTTTTCTTTATAAATGTACTGTAGTATGTATGGCTAATATATTATCAAGTCTACTATTACAACTTTCATTCGATTAAGTTAAGATTATGAAATTAATTGGATCTCTTGACAACTCGATAACAATATAATATTTTCTTGTAATTTTTTTCATGATGAGTGAATCGAAGTCTCCATTGAATAATGTAATCAAAGAAACACCACAATTGAATAGAAATATAATACAATAGTTGGAAAACATGTCATATATATTTCTTTATTCAAAGTTAGTGTATTAGACAGTCATAAGCGATTTAGAACCTGGGACACGTATACATTGGTTCAAGCTTTCATATTGCATTAGCATAATGAGGGAACTAACACTCAGATGGGGATAAATGATTTATTATTTAATGCGCAATCACATAGTGGTTTAATAAAATGTGAAAATAGATCATTTGTACGTCTTTCAGGTGTCCTTTACATCCCTAATAGTTCTTCCGACTTCGTTTTTATTTCGATTCCTTTCTGTTGTCCATCTTCCTTCTCTCAATTTCAATCTTCTTTTGACAAGCAATCCACGTATGTTTGGTGGTACATACTAGTTTTATCGACAGACTATACATCTGTTGTAACGGTTGCGACTGCAGGTTTTGATAAGCAGTGTTTTATCGATCGATCACAGTAACACGGAAAAGACGTACGGACGACCCAGAGCCCTGATTGGTCCCGCTTCGCAGTCTGTCCCAGCCAGTTGAGTCAAGAACGCAAGTCACAGCCTCTGAGTTATGAATCATTATATTTCAAACACACTTTGTTTATATACCAATCAAGCATACCACATCGTACCATAAAATAGGAAACAACATTTACAAAATATTTAACAAGTGAAATAAACATCGACCAATAAGAAATGTACATTTAAGGTCCAAGGCCACCATAGACTTAACACGATAATTATTGGTATATTTTTCCGACTATCCTAACAACATCACAGTATATATGGTAATAGAAAAGATTAAGCACACATGGTACCATTCATGAAAAAAAAACAAATTAGGGAAACAAAAAAATCATTGGGAAGTCAAAAGCTTAGAATTTCAGGGGAAGACAAAGAGTGGATTCACCTGCACCATTGCAAACGGTTTTGAGCGAAGTCGTTCAAAGTTTCCAACCATTAGTTGCAATAACCATGCGGACTACAACCAGGTAGTATGCGCCCAAGTATATAACTCAATCCAATTCTCATTGTTTTGATGGATTGATGCCACGTCTTGGTTAGACCGTCTCTATCTTCCTTCCAACCTATTCCCATATCAGACAACGTAGCGTGTCGAGGTAGGTTGTGGTTGAGTATATGCAATATATGTCCCATCCACTTCAATTGATGAGAATTTACTACCTATTCAATCGCTTTTCCATCCTTACGTAATACCCTATTCTTAACGCAGTGATTTCTTACTCGGTGATTCAAAAATACGCAAGTAATGCTTTAAAGACATCTATGTTTGAATACTAGTAACCTAAGAATATCCCCTATTCCTAATGACCATTTTTCATACCCATAAAATATAACGGAGCGAACTGCTTCACTATGCACTCGTCCTTTTGTTGGTAGACAGATATCTTGCGTACGCCACATATGAGGTTAGTTGGCAAAAGCCAACTGAACTTCCGTAGTTCATGTCTAAATTTTGTCAAACACCAATCCATGAGGCCTGATAAGAATTCTCAGATAAATGAGATGATTGATACATTCAACTACTACATAGGTCAGTCCAGAAGAAACATTTTGCATTTAGATGGAGAGAAGCACACACCAAACATCATTGTTAGCGAACATGACTATAAGATTTTGTTTGAGATGTTGTCTTCTCCAGTTCAGAGAACGTAACGTCTCCAAGATCCTCCTCGTAAGTTACAAATATTCTTAGTGTATAATACGTGATCGTCACTGACTATTATTCGAACTTACATCTTACAATATTTTTAAGCATTTAACTGTATGATCTTTCAGCCTTTGATTCATAGTGATATTAAGCTATTTATGTTCTACAAAATAACTACGTTTTTGCTTTCTCCATCCATTCTTAATTTCATCAGCATGCCCACTGATCGGTAAGTCGCTTAAAACACTTACCTAACCTCTTGGAATGATTGATATGAATTGACTTCAATCGTTATACTAAGGCATCCATTATAATCAGATACAACATTCAATCTCTGCATTTAGATTACAAAGACAAATTACCTTATAGCACATACACAATCAGACAGACTGTATAGATCGGACACATTCGTTTTATTAACTATTTTTAGTCGAATACCTGTATGAATACATATACAACTACTTATCAAACGCCTAACTAAGACTCGTGAACTACAAACACGAGAGAACCAAGCTGGCTTTAGACCTGGTCGTGGCTGCATCGACCACATATTCACCATTCGTCAGGTTCTAGAACACAGGCATACCTATCGGCGTCCGACGATGGTGGTCTTTCTTGACTTAAAAGCAGCATTTGACTCTGTAGACCGCGAGACTCTGTGGCAGTGTCTGTCATTGAAAGGCGTACCTCAGAAGTACATAAACCTTGTGAAGGCTCTTTACTCGAACACTACTAGTCGAGTCAGGGCTTATGGCGAACTGTCATCTACCTTTACAACCTCAAGTGGTGTCCGTCAAGGCTGCCCACTTTCTCCATTTTTGTTTAACTTCATCATAGACCTATTGATGGAAATAACACTCTCGTCGACTGAATTCTCGGGTATTGATCTCCTTCCAGGAGGTCCACTTATCGACTTAGAATATGCAGATGACATAGTCCTGTTTGGTGAAGACGCTGACAAAATGCAGAGTCTTCTGGTAGCACTAAGCAACAATGCCAGAATGTTTGGGATGCGCTTCTCTCCCTCTAAATGCAAGTTGTTGCTTCAGGACTGGTCTGCGTCAACACCTGAACTAAGGATAGGGAGTGAAGTAGTCGAACGTGTTGACAACTTCACTTATCTTGGAAGTCTGATCAGCCCTAATGGGTTGGTGTCTGACGAAATCTCAGCACGGATTCGTAAAGCTCGTTTGGCTTTTGCCAACTTACGTCACCTTTGGCGGAGGCGAGATATCCGTCTATCAATAAAAGGACGAGTATACTGCGCGGCTGTCCGTTCTGTTTTAATTTACGGCAGCGAAACATGGCCCTTAAGAGTAGAAGACACCCGTAAGCTACTAGTATTTGACCACAGATGCCTTAGAAATATTGCTGGCATCTGCTGGGATCACCGGGTAAGTAATAGTGAGGTTAGACGCAGGGTATTAGGGAATGATGGTAAATCAGTTGATGAGGTTATGAATCTTCATCGACTGAGATGGTTGGGCCACGTATTACGTATGCCTGAACACCGATTACCGCGACGTGCAATGCTAACCGGTGTAGGGGATGGTTGGAAGAAAGTTAGGGGCGGCCAAACCAAAACGTGGCATCAGTGCCTGAAGTCACTAACTTCTAGTCTGAGCCATGTTGGTAGATGCAGACTACTTGGTTGGGGTCCGCGTGACTTTCGTAACCAATGGTTGGAGACCCTTGGTGACATGGCTCAGAATCGATCACAATGGCGTCGGTGTATACACTCTCTGTCTTCTCTTAAACTAAGAGATTAAGATCACTTCACATCTTTCTTTCTACGAACTAATTCTTTCTTCCTATACTATATCCTTATTGCAATCTTTCTCCTATATATTACCACCTTTGACCTAACCACTCCTATGAATCCAGTGTTCATCTTGCTGTGCTAATGAGGTATGGCAACCTGGGCCGATGCATACATGTGCCTGGTCCTACGTTGTAGCTGACTGACAACTACTTATATTCTTCATTTTTTCTACAAGATCATCATCGAGAGTTAGCAGATACAAAGATTAAATTCACTTGATATTGTTTACTTGAATCTTCTCATTGATGTTTAGGACTTCAATTGATTGGCATATTTGCATATTGTGCGTATTGCCTTGACATTGCCTTAATTCACAAGCATTATAAGCAATGATGGATAGGGGCTAGCAGTGGAATCCAAAAGGCGCGTTTTTTCCTATTCGGGACTCGTCAGCTGGATGTAACTGCTTTTCAAAGTTGATATCCACCCTGGGACTCGAACCCAGTACCATTTGCCTCAAACGCTATCATGTTATCCACTTAGCTACTGAGTCCTGATAGCCACATGCTTGTGCAATGGGGTGAAGTTGTCGCGCATATTATATCACTACCGAAAGCCATCTATGGACTACAATATTTTAATTATAATTATTTTCAAAACATTCTTTGGGTATTCTGGAACAAAGGAGTAAGGGATATTGAGATTGGGGTATAGTAGGCAAATATGGCGAATTAGTTTATTAGACTATGAATCCTCATGGACTGTGGATTGGACATGTGTTAGTTATGCCCAGCAACTGCCTGTTTCTGCTTCAAATGTTATCCAGAGTGGGAATATAAGTTGAAAGAAAATTAAGGGCGGTCAAATTAAGACATATCATCAGCTTATGATATCATTGACTAATTGGTTGGCTTTTGTTAGTATTTTCCAACTACCTGCTCAAGGTCCACGTTATAATTGTAATCATTACTTGTAGGCCCCAGTTGAATTAGTTCATAATCACTCACAGAGGCACAGATCTACTTACTCTTTATCTTACTGTCAGCCTTCAGTTTCAATTTTATTTCACACTTTTGTCCCCTCAAATTTGTCCGTTCTTTTTGAACCATATTCTCCAGTGTTAGACCGTTGTCGTGATCATTAATGCTACTGTAACGAACAAAAACAACTTGAGCAGGGAAATTAAATTTTGATTTTCAAGATTACGCACTGTATTTTTCAAATATGAAATCAATACACTAAATACACCACATATTTATCTTCCTTGAATTGTCTCTTACAAATCCCATCATTCTTCCTTTGCTGTTGTTACTCCGGCTGTTTTCTGTTTTTCCTTTCTCATTTTCCTCTTCTGCCAGTAAGAATTTTACTATCACTTCCTACTACGTACTACTCATATCCGTCTGTATAAGTAACATACACCATACGACTATTAGTTTAAACCTTCTTAGCAACTCTGAAGTTGGACGCAGGGTATTGGGTAAGTATGATAAACCAACTTACGAGAAATGAGGCTTTATCGACGGAGATGTATTACCATATTCTTGTCCACCGTCTACCTCTAAGCACGATGATAGCTGATGTAGGAGTAGGTTGAAATGTCATGATCGATGAAAACAAAACATGGCATCACCCCATGAAGTCATTGACAGTTGGGCTGAGTCATGTAGGTGGGTCCATACTACTTGGTTGTGTTCCACATGATTATCGTAACCAACGGTTAGAAGATTTAAATGACGGCTCAGAAGCGTTTGCTCTGGCTTAGGTGTACCCATTCTTTGTTTCTCTCAAATTCTGAGATTCTGAATTCCTCAATTTTTTTTTCATTTCGCTGATTTGTATCTTGGTTGCTTAATCTTTCCTATTATCAATTATACTGTCAATATTTTTAATACTCTGAGATTTGCCTTAATAATTTCATCTCACCGCTTTTATTGGGTTATGGAGACTGGAATCGATATATACAGATGCCAAGTTCTACATTGAAACTGACTAACTGACCTGTAAGCTTTTAAATCAAATATTTGAATGATGCAATATTTAGAGTGAGAGAAAGAGATTTACCATGGTATTACAAACTCATCATTTTTTCTTATTCTTTTTTGTTTCATTTTAGTCATGATTCAAATCATTTCGAACATGATAATAATGATAATCATCTTCACTATACTACTGATGAAAATGTTATTGTGTCTCCTTCAAATAACAATGAGAAAACATTGCCTAATGATACAGAATCATTGAATAATATCATGATAGAATCAACAGTAAAGCAACAAACTATTAGTTCACATTAAAATGTTATTTTATCTAATTTCCATGTATACAGACTTGTTTTTGCCTACCTTTTCTCTCTCTCTCTCTCTCCCCTCTCCTCAATCTGATTTTCATGCTTCCCAAGTGTGTGTGTGTGTGTGTTTTTTGTTGAAAAAAAAACACATCTTGTCTATTGGTCCTATTCATTTTTTTTTATTTCCCTTCTTTTTGTGTATGAAGACTTCAGAATTTTCTATACATTATGCAAAGTTTAAACTAACTAGCTAATGGCAATTTGTTTACTGTTTTCTTTATAAATTAGTGAATTATGTATTTATGATTGTATTGAAAAAAACTATAAAAGAAACATTTTGTTTCACACCATTATATCTATTACTTCCTCTTTCTCTCTCTCTGTCTCTGCTATTCACTTAAGTGTGTTTGTAAAGAATAATAAGAATAATAAACATCGTAATGATTATAATTATCACTATTATTACAGTTATTTTACAAATGAAAACTAAAGTGTTATGTAATCTATGCATAAATTCTATTATTGAAAAGAAGATTAATTTTAATCATTTTGGTAAACAAATAAATTTGATGAATTTATAAGTCAATTGAAGCTAGACCAGTATGGGAAACTTGGAAGCACTGGACGGCCGTTTCGTCCTATTGTGGAACTCCCCAACAGTGCGTAACCACGATTCTGTCTCGTGAGATTCGAACCCACGACCTGTCAGTCTCGCACGCGAATGCTTAATCTCTAGACCATTGAGCTGGCAATTTGGTGGACTAGTTGGAGTTAGACATTAGCATCGTTGGCTAAGCGTTCGCGCGCGAGACTGATAGGTCCTGGGTTCGAATCTCGCGGGGTGCGGGATCATGGATGCGTACTGCTAAGGAGTCCCATACTAGGACGAAACGGTCGTTCAGTGTTTCCAGGTTTTCCATGGTGATCTAGCTTCAATCGACTTATGAATTCAACTATAAAATTACTAAAATCTCCACAAAACCCCTTCTGAAAATAAAATTGACTTAGTTGGGATAAAGAGTATCAATGTTTAGATTGCCCGTTAGAACGATAGATTTTCTTGACAATTCATTATTCAATAGAATATAAAGTTCATAAATAAAGCATACTTTTCGAATTACTTTAGTTCTCTTAAAGGCAAAAATATCCCCTTCATGTTAACATACAATTGTGTCTACAAATTAGGATGTGTGGATTGTGATGTCTCTAATATTAGAGAGTCATCTCATGAAATATTGACTTGAGCTAAAAAAACATGTTAGGTACACAAAGAAACCATGGAACTGGAAAGATTCCAAATTAAATCAGAAATAGTAGTTCATATCATTTTTATCAACTATCAAATAGATATTAAAAACATCAAAATAATACAAACTAATTAATTTGGTTTGGTTATTTATTCTCCGAAGAAGTGGGTTACACTGAGTCACGAAAAGTCAGAAAATTTAACAACTTAATTTTTCTACTCTTTGGAATGTTATAATTATATTTTTATCAGACTGATATGTCCTGGGTTCGAATCCCACAGGGAGCGGGTTCGTGGATGCGCACTGCTGAGGAGTCCCACACTAGGACGAAACGGCCGTCCAGGTTTTCCATCGTGGTCTAGCTTCAATTGACTCATGACTTCAATCAGTGAAATTATATTTTTACTTATAACAATATCCAATGCTTAATTTATTTGAAATGATCAGGTCAAACCTTGATAATAATACATAGAATAAGGTTTACTTAATTGAAGTTATCCAAAACATTTTGATTGTACAATAGGTGTGTTATTTTTTGTTTGGTAAATGAAGTATGCATTTTCAAGTGTTATTTTTATCCTTAACAGTTCATTATATTTATGGTTTCCATCCGGTGTACTGCTTTTGTAGCCGTATATTTGACTCCAGTTAGATCGTATGCTGATTGTTATCGAAATATACATACTGTCAACCTTCATATTTATTCTTATCAACTTAATTCACATTAGAGAATAACGGACTAAAATAAGCCAAATGCGAGAATGTATTTTGAATACATATATTATATACATTCATTGATATGAATAGACAGTGAGAGAAACGAAGTGACACTCAGCGGAGAAAGCAAATGAACTCGTTTTGATCAAGTGTGACACAATATTTATATTCAGACAAATATGAATTACAAACACTAAATGAATAGGGCAAGCAATCATATGAAAACAGTCAGGATTAATAAGCGAATCAGTGATAATAAAGTCAAAATATAGCTTAAGAAAAAAAATGAATAGAATGGTCTGTCCAGAAGTTAACGTTAATAACCTACGTGGGTTTGACCTAATACCAGCCAATAAATTGCGTTACACTGATAAATTCATAGTAGAAAGTTGGTGAAATATTTGAAATTCAATTTTTAATGGAATGTGTGTACACTATGCAGCATTTATCATACTCTAAATAAGTTTTGGATCTATTAATACACAAACCAATTTTATATCAACATTATCGTTACTTATCCAACTAAAGATATCTAGGCTGTAACCATAACTAGGTGTACAATTAACATTCTGTGATAGGGAGTTTTGTGTTTAATGAATCAATAAGACATTCATCTTGGGATAGTGTAAGAACAGACATATGGTGAAGTCTAATTCTCAGTCAATTAATATTCATCAATTTCCTATAAAAACTTTGACTCACTCATGTTATCAGTCACGTGAAGGCCACTGGTTTGATAAGTGTAAAGTGAGCCCCAAATGCGTTGGTACGACCGAGAGTGGAGAGAGTCTGCTCTCCCTCTCAAGATGCTCTGACATGGCCACGAGTATATAGCCTCTGCCAGGGAAGTCCTACTCACTACCTTCTCGTGGCGGGGGTGTTGTTTACAGAACTGAGAGGACGAAAAGCGGATGTCTGGCGCTTTAACCGGGTTGATGGACATGGAGAGTCCACCTAGGGAAGTTGGAAAACCCTGATTCCAAACCAATGGTGCACATGGGCTGGCTCCAGTATCCTGAAGGAGCAAATGCCGTATGAACCAATCGTAGGTCACCGGTTACCATGGGATTGCATCTCCTTACGATGCTTCATTACCTTGTAGGTTAGACCTTCATGTCAAAGGCTCCGGGTGTGGCCCCCTAAGAAAATCACCTGTTTCGGTCTGGGCACCCGTGCAGTATCACAACCCTCACACATATCAAATTAGATTTGTGTGGCGCATATGTATTTGGTGCCTCCTTGTACCAATGTTTATATGTTTAAATAGATAAATAAAAGCTTCAACCTTAGTTCTAAATATGAGAGGAGTGAAGATATATGGTCATGTGGTTGAATTTATGCTTAAACGTTTTGTTTCTTTTAACAAATAGAAAAAGTCAACTATTTAAAATCGATAGTCCCCTGTAGTTTCCCGTGTAAATTTTTGCATTCACAATAACTTTTCTAATTGATTATAACCTGTGAGGGTTATTTTTTAAGAATCATTCAACTTCGACCTTATATTGAAGTCTCACCGTGAGACTATAATTTATGGACGATCTTTGAACGATGCTAAACTGACCTTCAGAATGTCCACCTAATAAACACGACTAAATGAGGGGTATAAACCTGTGTGAAGAATTAGAATTATGATTTACAGTTGATAGAGTTAAAGTTAGGAATTAGATTTAGGGTTTTCATCAAGAACTGACATCAGCTATAATGCCAAAACTCCATTTATCCAAATGGATGGGTGAATTTCGCGCCAAAATCCAAGACCTGTTATCTTATATCTGATCGGTTCATCCATAAATTATCGTCTCACCATAGGTATATATACCAAGGATGGACTTGATCACTTCGAATCAATTGAGCATTAGGTATAGGGTTAATAATTAATATATTTCTTGTTATGTCCTAATAAGTAAAACATTTTAATTCCTGATGTTTCGCAACCTAATGTAAGCTACTTCTTCGGAGTAATTAAATAAATAACCGAAATTAAATTAACATAAGTTTAATTCCGGCCATTTATTTACTTACTGTGAAGAAGTGGCTTACATTAAGTTAGGAAGCACCAGTGATATGTGGGTGAAAATGATAATGATTGGTCGTCTGCATTGTTAGACATGTAGATACTCTGACATGTGTCAAATGAGTTATATATTCCACTCTCCTTATAATAATTATTGTTGATTGTTCATTGTTGTTGGATTGTGTTGGGTTTTTGGTATGGAAATATATTGACATTCTAGTCAAGCGAATCACGTGTTCTTAATCATCTGAGTTATGTTGAAGTTCTGTAGAATAGACACATTGAGAGAGAGAGAGTCTAGTGTAAATAATTGTTTAAGGTAAATTAATGTCCCATACATGTAGACGTTGGAAAACTAACTGTTATACCAACCAGAAATATAATTTTTCTACTCATCAAATCTCACGAGGCGAGATCGTGAATGCACACTGCTGAACAGTGCCACAATAGGATAAAATGGCCATCCATTTCTTTCAGGTTTTCCATGATGGTCTAGCTTCAATTAACTCATGATTTTAACTATTGAAATTGTTTTATATGTTTAATCTTTATTCTTTTACATTGTCCTTTTATAATATAAATTGATTTATAATTAAACATTATTTTCTGATTGGCTGAAAAATCGTTCAAGGTCATCGGTATTGTTTACTTCTATGTCGAGGAAACAAAACTTATTAAATTAATAAATCATTTAAAGTTTATTAAGGAGTTACTTTAAAAAGATCTTTCTACCTAATATTTTGTCATTGTAATATTGTTACTAATGAAGTGATTCAATTTTGAAGATAAATCAATATTTTTTGACGATGATATTGAATACAAATGATGTTTCTTTTTTCTCTTTAAGAATTCACTAAATATGAGATAGATAATGGCTAGAAGTGGAATCTAAGATACGCGTTTTGTCCTATTTCGGACTCATCAGTTGGAGGCAATTCGCACAGGATCAGTCAGTCAGTTAGTAACAACGTAGAACTTCGTACGTACGTACATCAGTTCGAGTTGCCATACCATATTAGCACAGATATG